ATCCTGACCTCCAGGTCATTTTCTGTCCGTCTATCTCACACACACACACATCAGTCTGTGTGTGTGTGTGTGTGTGTGTGTGTGTGTGTGTGTGTGTGTGTGTGTGTGTGTGTGTGTGTGTATTTCTGTGTTGTCTCTGTTGAATTTAAATGATGCTTTCTGACAGACTGAGGTCTAAACTGGCTGCTAGAGCTCAGTATAGAAAAACTGTCAGGTACTGAAAATGGCAACGACTGCTGGGCCCCCGTTCTTCTTGAAAAAGGTTTGATTAGTCATCGGACAGAACTTTAATAAACAACAATTTTGAACTAATTGTTTGGACACTTTTTTCTAAAGGCCAGACATTCTCAGGTTCCAGATCCTCAGATGTTTTGTTGTTTTTTTTCCTTTATATCATATAAATTGAGTCACTTTGGGTTTTATCAAGTTGTGATGAGCATTTTCCACCATTTTCTTACATTTTTAGTCCAAAAGATTAATTGTTCAGTAGTAGTCAGATTCTTATCATAATGTTTCTTCAGCTGTGATCAGATAATGATTCCTGATTGAGGTCTTTTTTTGAAAAATGTTGAATACAGATCTAGAATGAAATCTAATCTAGAATCTAGAATGACACTCAGTAGAGCTCGTACCTCCCCCAAGGGGACATATTGGAAAGTGATGAAAAATCCCCCCCCCCCGTTTTAACTTGATCTGCCTCAAAACTGAATAGGTTCTTCCCTGACCTATGACCCATCCCTCCACCCAGTTTGGTGCAAATCAGTTCAGCACCTTCATTTTGTGTAATCCAGACAAACACGGGTGAAAATAACCTCCTCTGTGGACAAATTTAAAGTAATGTGCACCTAAAGTTACTCCCTCCATCCTGCTAGAAGAGGCAGGGCAGTGACTTTTCTCTCTGCTTGGCAACTTTTATTAGGACATGAGGATATTTAGTGTCTACTGGGCCGAGTTTTAGGTTTCTGCTGCTAACTGCTAACTGCTAACCCGCTGTCACTCCTCAGTCCGTGATTTTGTTCTTTCTCTCCAGTGATTTGAGATTGATGACGCTCTTCTCCTTCACTAGCTGATTCAGTTTGATGCCGGGTCGATGTTTTTTGGATGTGGATGCCGTGTTTTCTCATGAGCAGTGTAACCGTTCTTATGTTCTGTCAGTCGGAGGTGATTCTTCTCTTTCCCTCTTTTTAGCTGTAATTTTGAACTTCTATTCATGTCCCCGTGGAGGATAATGCGTAAGAACATTTCTGCTGTGTTTCTCCTCCTTCAGTCTGGACGCGGCATCTGTAATTACGCTGACTTGTTCCAAAAACGTTCACATGACTGACAGTTTGTGGGCGACGGGATGTTCTGGTGACCACAGAAGGTCCCGGTGTCTGTGCGAGCTGATTTTCTGTGCATCTCCCATCAGATCTTGAGTGGTTCTGCTTTTATTTTCACAGTTTACATGTCTGACTGACTGGTTGACTGACAGGTCACCTGACTCACCTGCTTTGTGACTGGTTGGATTGACTGCCGGCTCACTGATGGTCTGCTGCTGATGAGTGGATTAACAGAAGGACTGGCTGGCCGGCAGTCTGGTTTGCTGGCCTCCTGAGTGATTGGTTGGCCGGCTGCCTGGCTAAATGACTGGCTGCCTGGCTGAAGCAGTAACCAACTGGCTGGCTGACTGACGGTGACTCAAGGGATTGGCTGACAGGCTGGCTGACCGACTGACCCCATCATCTTTACAGGCAGTCGCAACTCCTGCTGAACTCTTTAAACAGCAGCAGATTAATGCAAAATAAATAACAGACAAATAGTTTTTTCGTGGCGTAGAAACAGCACGCGGCGACGTCCTGCCATCAAAACCTCCTGCTGACTTCTACATGTGAAACGACGAGCGTAGCATGAATGTACTGAAAGCTGAGCTGTCGAGCGCAGCGTGAAAGTAAACTCACTTTTATTTTTAGACATCTGTTCTATAGAAGCAGCTTGGTTTGACTTTTGTCTCGGTAATAACAGCTTACAGTGCAAAAATAGTTGTATGAACGTATGAACAGTCTTGTTTCAAAGTGACACCCTTACCATATGAAAACGCTCTCAGAATGACTGGCAGCAGAGAAGTTGCAGCTTTATAAATAATCGTAGATAAGTTTGGTTGTGGTGCTCTGTGTTTCGGAGATAGTGTCACCGAGCTGCAGGTGATGTGTTTTTTATAGACGTGCAGAGGCTGACAGTGAATGCATCTTTCATCTTTAAATGCTGAAGTTTGGCAGAGTTGCCCTCTCACCTCTGGACCTGACTCAGAAATGTCAGCAGAGACGCCGGCTGCCTGTCATCTGTTGCTTCCTGCAGCTGCAGCGCTCGATAAGACGTGTGAGCTTTAGTTTCTTCCAGTACCAGCACGTAACACCAGTCGCTTCCTGTTTTTTTTTTATTTATAAATTAACAAAAAAACAACCAAACTCATATCCATTTTGACAGCCAGGCTGAACTCGACAGCCAGCAGAGCGAGGTAGCTAGCAGCAGTGATAAATTTGAAGGTTGGTAAATGTCTTGGCAGTCAGGCAGCATTAACTCACCAGTATGAAGACGTATTTATTACAGTTGCATTACAGCCAGTAGTTAATGTGCCTCCTGCAGTTAAAAGACTATTCTTAAATAACTTAACGCTCCACAGTCGGATCTTGGCTCCTGTTTCAGCACCACAGCGTGATTCAGTATCTTCTCTTCAGCCAGCTCAAAGTCTGGGTTGTCATCATCTTCAGATTGGTTCAAAGATTCGCTTGGTAAACTACAGTGCTTGTATTTCCTCTTACACCGTTCTGGTGCCAGTTGTGTTTATTTTTGTATCACTTATCCTTATTGATTATACACTTTATATATCACTTTTCCAGAGTGTTTTGATCATATCTTTCCTTGAAACAACTTCCCTCCCAACCTCTCACCCATGAACTGATGAAAACAATAATGATGAATTAAAATAACAAAATAAATAAATTACTGAAACACATATACCAACATGCTTATGTGCATACCTGCATACCTACATAGCAAAAAAAAGGGGGGGTACAGTCTCACTTGGTAAATGCCAAATTTAAGAAGTTTGGTTTTCAGGAATTGATTCCAAAAATATAAATAATGAATCCAACCTTTAATGACTTTTATTTTTTGATCATGTGTGCAAGCCTTTCAATCGCTTTGCAAGAAGAAAGTTACTTTCATGAGTTCTTGGAGACAATACTTTTGGGCTGAATCTTCTTTGTGGATGATGTTGGAAATTATGTTGATTTATTCCTTTCCAAGAGTCCTGCGAGGATTCACACCTCCACATGAAATGGAATAGTTAACTTTTCTCTGTCAGTTGTGTTTATTGGTAGCGACGTAGATGAGATGGAGCAGCTATAAAATATCTTGCGTGTAAAATAAATGCACAAAACTGAAGAAGCGTTATTGAACCCCAGATAAACACAAAACTTTGGGCCCCCTCAACAAGCCACATTATGTGACCAAAAGTATGTGGACACGTGGACATTAGACCAAGTAAATCCTGATCTAAAGTTTTTCAACAGCAGGGAAACAGGTGTGGATGATACAGCTGTTTACATTTGTACAACAAGCTGCCAAAATGTCACAAGCGTCAATATGAAAAGCCAAACCCCCACCCCCCCACCCACAGCTTCCCCTTTGTGGACTTGTGAGTCCAGGCCACAGCCGCCCATCACGCTCCCGCTTATCGACTGGCTGTAATAACAGTGAAAATGTCATGTCGTGTCTGCCCCAGTCGGCCTGGTGAGATGAGACGCACGGGTTCGGCTGATGCAAAGTACTTGCAAATAAATGTCACACAGCCTCAGTGATGCCGCAATGATTGAGAAATAATCACTTGATCTTGTTACACGTCTGTATGCCTGTCTGAGTCTGCCCTGTAATATCCTGAGTGTGTGAGCCGGAGTGGAGGTAGGTTGTTTGGCTCAATCTGCATTTTTGTTTGGAGTAATATCCGTTTATTAGACTGGTTTGAACAGCGTTTTTGTTCCCGTGCTTGGCTCTTCAGCTCGTCTTTCATAGATGGACTGAAAGCCAACAACCAGCCAAATATCCTGAGTTATAGCTTTGGTTGCTGAGATTGTGATAGTTCTTTTTAAACCTTGTACCTAAATAATAGGTACATTTGTTTTCTAATACTTTTCCATATCACCAGTTTCAAAAAAATTCACTCTCCACACTTTCTATGGAGCTGGTCGACTTCCAGCAATAAAGACTGTGCCTGTGCAGCTGGTTTGAAGAAACACAACCAGAGGTGATGCTGTAAAGGCAAACGCTCAGGGTAAACGCAGGCCAGAATAATATGTAATATTTTATATAAAGGCTGCAGCTAATGTTGATCTCTTTGTCACAATCAGTTGATTAGATTGATTAATTTTGATTAATGGCAATCACAATCTCCCAGAGCCCAAGGTGATGTCTTCAGATTTCTTGTTTTGTCTGACTAACAAACTTAAACCAAAAGATAAGAAGAAAAAAGTACAATTTACAATAACATGAAACAAAAACTCCTCACATTCGAGAAGCTGAAACTAGAAGTTCAGTGCAAAGTTTGATCACAAGGTGGAAGAACCCATGTACTTAAAATAAATGTCTGCATAAATTCCTTATAACAAGCTTAAACTTTAGGCACAAATACAAGTTAAAGCACGATATAACAGGATGAAGTGTTGGAGCTGCACTTCACTTGCAGAGATGTGATTAACGTGAATATATTCTGAAAATCACCTGACACTGTCGTCGTCTTTCCAGGTGACCTGATCCTGAAAATTCAATAACAACTGTTGTTTATCTGTCAGAGTGTCTCGGTGCTGATGTTTCCATCCTTCCTCTGCGTCTCCACCTTGAAACAACCTGACCAGAGGAAAATAGATTTATACTGTTTGTTTTGATTCGCTCCATTAGTTCATATAATTGTTTCCACGCTGATGGGTCTCTCTCTCTCTCTCTCTCTCTTTCTCTCTCTCTGAGAGAGTGTAGAGGAGGAAATTAAGCTGGAAATCAACATGCTGAAGAAGTACTCCCACCACAGAAACATCGCCACCTACTATGGAGCTTTCATCAAAAAAAGTCCACCAGGCCACGATGACCAGCTATGGGTGAGTTCTTAGTTTTTTAAGGATGTAATGTTTTCACAGCAAAGCGTTTCAAGTTACGTTCACCTGAAACTTAATACAACAATCATTCTTCAACTAGTCCTGACCAATCACATCCTCTAAATTTGTAACATAGCAAGTGAAATAAGAGCATCTGTGGGAAAAGATGGAGCAAAAGTGGAGCAGAAAGAGATTGATTTTACTTTAAAGAGGAAAATCCTTAAAGTTGTTTATTGACCGTCATCTGTCATAAAGTTTTAAATGAGGCAGGAACCAAAAAGTGCAGATGCTGCAACCAAAACTAAAAGTTTGACTTTACTTGTTGTGTGAATTCTAAAGGAGACTATTAGCTATAAATCTATTAAGTGTTTCCATTTATACAACACCTGAACCTGCAGTGTTATTTTTAGTGAACCCCTCGACTCTGTCAGAGAGACGCGACAGATCAGCACTCAGGGGCTTGATGTGGCTACAGTACATCAGGGCTATATTCAGGGTTAACATGCTTGCACATACCCGATGTGTTCACACACTTTATTACTTACAGACAATAACAAATGTGTTTCCCCCAACGTCACAGCCCTTACTGGCTCTCTTCCCTTGGAAGAGGAGAAGAAGAAGAAGAAGAAGAAGAAGGAGAGAGCAATACAAACGCATAACAAATCAAAAAAAGTGAAACAAGACAGAGAAGAGGAAACAAATTAAACAAACGAAGCCAAAATGAGAAACGACAGTAAATCGGAGAGAGAAACACAAGAGGGAGAGGAGCAGCGGGGGAGATTTATAGCTGCTCGGTTTAGAAGGAGCTTGTTTTATGACCCTGATCCTAGAGAGGAGAGATCTCGCTCTCGCTCCACAACACGGCCCGGTATCTGTTTTTACAGCTGCTTCCACGACCCCCTCACAGCCCCCCCCCTACTGTTATGACTTCATGCTGTCTGGTGTGTGTGTGTGTGTGTGTGTGTGTGTGTGTGAGTGTGTGAGTGAGAGAGTGAAAGTGTCATTTTCTTCTTGCATCGACCATCAGTTAAGACTACTTGTCTTCTGGAGAAGAGGTTGTGTGTTTGTAAAACATGTATCTTTGGGTCGGACACAAACTACGACAAGCTTTGTGATTATTAATGCACAATATAGTGGCAAATTAGGGGGGAGGGGGCAGATTGTCCTGCTTATATCATGACCATTTGTCAATATAAACTTTATATTACCCAGGTCATTATTTTTATTATCTGGAATCATATGTTGTGATCATTATATGTTCTGTCTAATTATTGGATCCCGAGCAAACGTCAAAAAATAGGTTGTTGAAGTTTGTGTTTGACACATTTCTCATGTAAAGCTCAGCAGACAAACACGTGACTGGATTCAAACATTACACTACTGAGCGGCGGGGGCCGAGGGCGCTCAGGAGATAACATGCAGTATTTAGTCCTTGCATATCAGCTGTAGGAGACGCTGTATGAATGATGACTGCATGACCACGGGTGTTTGCTAATGCAATTGTTTTCCACATGAAGACCACTTCTCCCATTAGCCCCTCTGCTTCCTGTTTCCAATCATTGCACGGGGTAAACATGTTGGAAGTGATTTTTCCTTTGGCCACTTCTACCGCTGCTGCTTCGACCACTTCCTGTCATCAGATACTCTGTAAGTGTTGGGTGCATACAGCGATTCCAGCAGATTTGCATTCAGATCTGTCCTGGTGGCTCACCAATGGAAAATGCAAAGTATAAGCTAATAGAGGCTGACAGTTCCCTCAGTGATTGTCTCAGTTGTTGAAGGCAGTTATACTACAAAATGAATGTGGTGGTGGTTTATTGTGTAGCTACTTTAGCAGATGTTTTCTGTAACACACAAAACGATGGTGTGTGTGTGTGTGTGTGTGTGTGTGTGTGTGTATGAGAGTGTGTGTGTGTGTGTGTCCACAGTCCAGTCCTCTCAGTATCCTCTGTCCTCTCTCCTGCAGCTGGTGATGGAGTTCTGTGGCGCCGGTTCCATCACAGACCTGGTGAAGAACACCAAAGGCAACTCGCTGAAGGAGGACTGGATCGCCTACATCTCCCGAGAGATCCTCAGGGTCAGTCCTCTATTCACAGCTAACCACTAACTTCACTGCAGAATGATGGGATGTGTGGTTTTGATGCAGGTACTTAATGAAGTTAGGATTTTAATTGGTTAATTGGACAATATGGCAACAGGATCTTGAAAACACCACAGATAGTACAGCCGCAGAGTTCGCTTCCAATATCAGTGACCTGTTTACACAGATTGATATAATCCTACAAATTTCATATCAAGTTATATATTTCAATACACTAAATAATAACAGAAATACTAAAGAAAAAAAATTGTCCCTCAGTCCTGTTGCCAAATCTTTGATGGAGTCTATTATTTTGATTTTCTCAGCTGCTCTGTGACGCTCCGTGTATGTAATGTGTTTTATTTTTTTTTGGGGGGGGTGGCATTATCTCCACAGGGATTAGCTCACCTGCATGCTCATCACGTCATCCACCGTGACATCAAGGGACAAAACGTGCTGCTGACTGAAAACGCTGAGGTGAAACTGGGTATGTGTTGGTTTTATTTTGGTTAAACTGTGGGCCCGGCCGCACTCGGCCTGCGTGTCGACCGGGAGCTGAGCGTGCACTGAGGTCCGGATGACTTCACTGAAAAAATACTGCAGCGCCAGATTTGAGTCAGCGCAGCGTCATGCTTGTGCCAGCTGGGGCTTTTTTTTTTTATTGCCAGTGTTGTTTTATAAAGTTTCACATGATCGCACAGTTGCAGGCCGGTATCCAAGTCAGTTTTACTAGAAATTAAAAAACACATTGCACATATCGTTTGATCATTACGTTGCAAACAGCACTACTGAGCAGTTGTCAATATCTTTAATATCGTTTGCTTTTTAAGTTTAAATAAATTTTATATGATTTAATAAAGAATCCAGTGGCTAATTTTTTGGATTACACATCGTGTTGCGTCATAACTAAGGTTCCCAGAATCAGTCTTCTCTAATCTAACCCTGACTGGGATTACACCAGAGCGTACAGTCATATTGCTGCTTGTCAACATAGTTTTTCTGTCACTGTTTTCCTGGCTGTGACGCAGAAGATGCGGCTGCCACTCATAATCCCACCAACAAAGATGTGATTGGCTCAGTCTGAGTATCTACGACTAAAACAGGAGATAGAAATGAAACGCATGGCTCTATTTTCAGGTTACCTCTGGTCACTTGTGGATGATTAAAACATTAGTGCCAATCAAAGAAAATCTAATATTTCCTGTTTGGGTCTTTTCGCTGTCTAGTTGTGCTTGTTCTTATTTTAATCCGTAAGCCTTTCCCGTGTTTTAACTTGTCAAACATGATGTTTTATTTTAAAACCTCTGCATGAAAATTGCCCCTTTGACATTTTTATGAATCTTCTGCTCATCAGTCTTGTTTTTATTTCACTAATATCTACAATTAGATTACTATTTGTAGAGTTGTTACTCTTTGTGACCTTGTTTATTACTGTCCTGTGACACGCAGTATAAACCACATGTCTCTACTATAGCCACAGTAACACGCTTCATCTTAAAGGAGGCAAGACAGAGCTTTGACCTTTAGGCTGGGAGTCAGGACACGGACTGTGGCCACGAGTTGGTGAACGAAAGAACGAGTAAAATTTTCTATTAACGAGGGTCACAGGGCAAGAGACTGAATCGTTTATGTGGCTCAGAGGCTGAAATTTAAATGACCCCTCCGTTAATCTGCTTTCACACACGATCTGAACTGAACTTTAATCAAATTTGCAGTTTCTCATATTCAATGTTTGCAACTGGACTTCAAACATAATTTGTAATCCACAAGTTGAGCCCTGTCATTATGTTCCCAGACTCTCTTTTCATACTTCATTGGTTCACTGACATAAGCCCAAATATTTAAATGAAATGAAAATCAAGTCTTTAACCTTGTTAACATGTCCATATGGTGTTTTTTTTATATAATACAAGACATATCATACGTCATATAGCTAAGGAACCACTCGAAACCGAAACGTCATTTTGCGTGGATGAGGGGCGGGGCAAAATAAACCCGAAACCTCGTCGTTACAGAGAGAGAGTTTGCATTACTACAACACCAACACCATGTCAGCCACTGCCAGCATAAACAAATGAAAGATGCTAACTATGCTAACCGTTCTGATACGCCCTCTTTTAACTTGTTATGTTGGAAAACCATGTTAAACAAAATATTAATCATAGCAGAGTATTTTCACAGAGTTTAAAACATGTCTGGAGAGGAGGAGAGGAACTATAAGAGACACACACACACACACGATCCATCCATCGTAACCCAATGCTGATTTGTTCTTCCCAGTGGACTTTGGCGTGAGTGCTCAGCTGGACCGGACGGTAGGACGAAGGAACACCTTCATCGGGACACCCTATTGGATGGCTCCAGAGGTCATTGCTTGTGATGAAAACCCTGATGCCACCTATGACTACAGGGTAAGAATAAACACTGGATCTGCTGTTTAACAATATAACAGGGGCTGGACAGTAGGAATAGATCACAAGACATTTTATCAAGGTGAAAGTGACAAAACTATAAAAAAGCTGCAGCTGCAGTTTTTCTGTCCATAATTAAAAGGTCAGTCCAATCAAATAACAGAAAACATCATTTTCCACAGGATTTTTTTGCGGTGCTTTTGAAATCTCTGTTGCTGAGACTTCTGCTGCCACAACAGCCCAGAACAATGTTTTGTTATAGACACGCAGCCTCTGCAGGAAGTAGTTAGTGGATAATCCAGACTCACCGGGACACTGTCTGTGGAATGAAGTGTTGCTGTAAAACAGTCTGGGAAGTGTCAGAAATCACAGTTTTGTTCTGCTCAAGTCTGCTCCTGTAAGAGCTGAAACTGCTTCCTTTACACGTGTGTGTATTTGTTGGTAGGAATAAATGACAAACTGATACTGACTCATCTTCGCTTCTGTCCTTCAGAGTGACCTGTGGTCCTGTGGCATCACAGCCATAGAGATGGCTGAGGGAGCTCCGCGTAAGTACAGTCACATTGACCTAATGCTGTTTTTTTTTTTGGCATATTATGATAATTATTTTTGAAAAATTGCTAGATTTAATGTGATAAAATCAGAGCATCAGTGGCATGTTTTAGTCTCTGCTCTGCACAATTTATCGTTTGTTACTGCGTTGGTCAGATTTGTTGATGTTTGTTGAAGACAGATGGGTTACAAGTGGTGTGAGCAGAGGGGGGTGGTGGTTAAAACTAACAAAGTGCTACATAAATGCAGGTCCATTTACCATCTGTTTAGAGTGATTATACTAAAGTACCGCAGTTGATTTTACAATAATATGTACATTTTTTAATGTCAACATGTTATTAAAGCTTCAGCCCTACAGAGACTTTCTGTTCAACCTGTTTCTTCCTGTTTGGACATGAATACACAAGAAGTTCAGTCTAAAATCCGTGACTTTGCCGTGTGTTTTTGTCTCGCTGATCCCTCGCCTGTCTTGTTTCCTCCAGCACTGTGTGACATGCATCCAATGAGAGCCCTCTTCCTCATTCCCAGAAACCCTCCTCCTCGACTCAAGTCCAAAAAATGGTGGGTTAAGTTTTTAATATTTATCCTCTCTGTCAAAAGTTATCTCTCCTCTGAACAAAAGCAGATTTCTAACACACACATCTCAACTTTTAACTTCACAGGTCAAAGAAGTTCTTCAGCTTCATCGAGGGCTGCCTGGTGAAGAATTACACTCAGCGCCCCCCCACCGAGCAGCTGCTGAAACACCCCTTCATCCGGGACCAGCCCAACGAGAGGCAGGTCCGCATCCAGCTCAAAGACCATATCGACCGAACCAAGAAGAAGAGGGGCGAGAAGGGTGAGTCACTGCTGAGAAGCTGAGGAGCTGCTCTATGAAAATGTGTCCGTCAGCGGCAGGAAGGACAAAGTAAAAGGACGTTACATTACGTGCATTACAGAGGAAGAAAAAAAAACATTTAATTTGAAATACTGTCGTACAGTTACACTTTTTTTTGTGTGAAATATTAATTTTATTTTGCTGTTGTAAAAGAAAATTTCAAAATGAAATTAATTCAAAATTCAAAATAATTCATTTTAATGACTGTTACTTAGCTGTTATATATTTATTCTTATATTATTATTATTATTCACAGATGAGACTGAGTATGAATACAGTGGCAGTGAAGAAGAGGAGGAAGAAGCATCTGAGCAAGAAGGAGAGCCAAGGTAACTGCAGTCTTACACTAATCACCATCTTCTATTCGTCTTACTGATGATGAATTAGATGATGAATGCTTGAATGTTTTATTGAAATAATAATCAAAACGGGAGAAATTAAAGGAAAAAGTGCCATGGATAAATAATTATCATTTCTTTAATCTCTATTTATTTTTTTATTATTATTACTATATTCTTTTTTTTCTCATTTTGTATGATCTAAATGTTTTTACATGGAGTTGAGGTGTAACATGAGCCCTAGATGGGTTTCTTACCGCACCTGCACATCCACTTCATAAAAAAAACTAAACTATATTAAATGTATTTGTAATGTTTGATGTTTGCAAATGAATTAAATCAAAATCAAGCTTTAATTTCTTAGGAATACAAATGTACAAATGTATCTGTGGCTATTTTTTCCATAATGTAAATGATGCCACTTAAACATGAGACTGTGTGTGTTCTTACATGGGGAAGTCAAACAATAGTATTTGTGTCATGAACTAAAAAAAACTTTATTTTTTACCTCCGTATAGCTCCATAGTCAACGTGCCGGGTGAGTCGACCTTGCGCCGTGACTTCATCCGGCTGCAGCAGGAGAACAAGGAGCGCTCGGAGGCCCTGCGCCGCCAGCAGCTCCTGCAGGAGCAGCAGCTCCGCGAGCAGGAGGAGTACAAGCGCCAGCTACTGGCGGAGAGGCAGAAACGTATCGAGCAGCAGAAGGAGCAGAGGAGACGGCTGGAGGAGGTGAACATAGATACATTCTCATACCTCAAGCTGAGTTAATCATAACAAATTGTTTATTAACATGACTGTAACAGAGAAGAAGGACCGAGTCGAAGCAGTGTGGTCGGACTGTGTTAACACAAGTGGCTATAAACTGCTGGTTTCCTGTCCAGATGTAATCTGTAAATTGGAGTGTATAATATTTAAAAGTTATGATAATTGTTTACTGACAAACTTCACTGCTGAGATCCGCTGATGTGGTGACATCAGCCAAACAGATTCACACAAACACTAATATTTAAAACACAAAGAAAACAAAGGTGGATATTTAAATCATTAAATCAAGTTAAACTGGACATCTCGTAACATATATCGTTTGGGCAAGTGTTGTAAAGTTGTCTTTAGTTATTGCCTTGTGCCAGTAATTCACATGGTCAGAGAATCTATAGGACTGACGCACCAAACTGCTGAAATAAAAACAGGTTATAAAGAAAACAGTAACTTTGCTGGAACAGTCAGAATAAGTCTAAAGAATAATGATTTATTTATATATACCTGATAAACCAGGTGGAGGTTAGTACAGGTAATAAATTGCTAAATAAAATGCTTCATAAATAGAGGCAGCAGTAAATACAGCCGTAAATAAAAGCCATCATTTGCTGCTTTTTCTTTTTTATTGTCCCCATAAACTGAATGCCTGACAAAACAAGCAACTTTAAAGACGTCACCTTGGTCTGCAGGACATTACAATGACTTTGTGAAACTTTTGACACTTATGACACCAGCTGCTTACCAAAGGTCTATCAAGATAAATTAGTAATAAGACACACTGGACATTTAAAAAAAAATCAGCCTTTGCTTTTCTAGTGAGTTAAATGGTTGGTTTATTAAACTACACACCTCCAGTTGTAGTTGTCTATTCATAGGAACTATTTCTTCAGCAGGAAATAGAGTATCCTTCCACTGCCCTGAGTGAGAAGACAGGGAGATTTAACCAGATACACAGGTGCAGATTATATTTGTGTACATTATCTCTGTGTAAGAAGATTAATGACTTTTGACCCTGAGGTTAGTGGTTAGATTTTTTTTTGCTTGATGATTTCATATATTAATCGATTTTAAGCTGCAGTGAAGAAACATTAATTGGTTTCCCCAGAGGACGAGTTTGAAAAAGAGTTTGTAATTATCCTTTATCTCTTTGAGCTGTGGTCCCTTTATATTAGGGTTTATATTGCTTGGGTGCATTTCCTCGTCGCTTCTCTTAGAGGAGAGAGAAAAATGTATCGTGAGAGAGAGGGAAGTGGAGGGAGGACGGGAGATGGGGAGAGATGATTATAAATCTGGACAGAAGTAGACTGAGCTAAATTCTCTGGAAGGAAAAGAAGAGAGAGACCTAAATTCTGACAAACAAAGAGATATACGGGATAAGAGAATATAAAATGGGACAAGAGTTCGGTGACTATCAGCACATTTAAATGCTCAAACAGACAGAGAGCAGATTTTAATTTACTACCTCAAAGGTGTAAGGCGTTTGTAAGAGAGAGAGAGAGAAAGAAAGAGAGAGAAAAAGTTTGATTGTAGTTCATGTTTTCCCACAGCAGTCACAGCTCGAGGCTCTGGGTTTGATTCATGACGGAGCTTGTGTATAAATCAGACAGTTAGAAGCCGCAGCTGAGCGCAGAAACACCGCTGTACATGTGCACTCCTGTTTTGATGGATTACCTCCTGTGGATTCCTCGATGCCGAGCGCTGACTTTTGTGCAAACATGATGCGTCATGATACTAAAGCCTGCACAGCTGATGTCCTGCTGCCTCCACTGCACCTTCTCATGACACACTGACTGACAGAAATCAGTGTAATTTCTTCATCTGTCTGCACAGAGAACCGAGTGTTAGATGACTGCCTCTCAGAATTAAACCTTTACTCTGATTAATGATTAAGTCTGCATGCAATGTTGACATTTTAACTTCCTTCCTTGTCACTTAAGCTCATCCAGTGTCTGTATTTATTTTTATTTTCTCCACTCTGGTAAATACAGGCACACGTGCCCCAGACTAAAAACCATCCATCCAGAGAGCGGGCGTCATAGTTTGGACCATTTGAAGGGGCCGCTAAAATCCTAATTCCTATTTAAGCCACATTAGTGTAGCCTTGACAGCCTGTGGATTTGAAGAAAATGGCACATATCCTTGAACAGATGGCCTTGAATATACTGGATTTTTTAAAAATGCGAATGTAGCACTCAGTCTATTCACCCCACTGCTGTGAACCTGGCAGCAGTTTTTAATTTGTAAACCTCCACCAAAAAACAATTTTCATCAGTCATTGACACTTTCATGTCTTCAGACTGATTATTTTGTCCAAACAACAGCTCAGAGACTAAAAATATTAAATTCACTTCAATATATCACAAAGAAAACCTGCAGATTTACACCTTTGAGAAGATTGGAACCAGCATCAACCAACATAAAATAATAGACTAATCATTTTAGCATTAATAGTGTCTTGTCAAAAGTCTCAAGAAAAGAAATGGAGCCTCTTGGATTACATAGAACAATGTCAGATCTCAGAAACAGCTGTGGATTCTGCCAATTTGTGAATATGATCAGTTTTCATAAGTATTTATCTCCATGATCTAATGAAAACAGATTTTATCAGATTTTCCTCATCCAACACGATCATCTATGTTGGGCCTCGTTCTCGGCTCTGGTTTGTTTTGCTGGCAGGATGACTGGTGGGTTTTTTGCTGAATGGGTCTTAAGACGCTGATGATGAGTCTGTTTTCTGTCTTCTCGGTTCATTTTCATACAGGACACTTTGTAACTGTGAATGTAGTTAAACCATAAATTGATTATGGTTTAACTACATTTACAGTTACTTAACTTAGACAGCATCACATACACAAAAATGGGTCATTGGCTGTTTTGCTGTGTGACTCTCTTTGTGTTTGTGTCTTGATGTTTATACCGACGCTGTATTAGGTGGATGATATAACAACAACATATCACAGTTGCATGTAGGTGACACAGTTCAGGATCAGATTTTGTTCCACTTATCCATCCGCATCATGATAATAATAAAAACTCGTGCTAGAAACGGATCTGATATAAGAAGACAAGAATCCAGGACGAGAACTCGGACACTAAACAGGGTTTCTCTTTTAACTCGCCTCCTGTGTCGTCCCGCAGCAACAACGGCGTGAGCGTGAGATGAGGAGGCAGCAGGAGCGCGAGCAGCGCCGGCGTGAGCAGGAGGAGAAGAGACGCATCGAGGAGATGGAGCGACGCCGAAAAGAGGAGGAAGAGCGCAGGAGGGCCGAGGAGGAAAAGAGGAGGGCCGACCGAGAACAGGTACGAGCCAGAAACATTTTGGAGGGGGGGGGCATGATGCTTCAGGAAGGTGTGGCCCAATTAAATGTTTATATCTTATTTAAGTTGATGCTTGTCAATGCGAATCAAAACTAAATTTATATCTTTAGATCTGTCTCTGCGAATATGACCCATTTCAACACAATATTTTCTAATTCCACCTTTCTTATTCTTATTTCATCCATAATTTAATGAAGTTTTATTCGACCTTGACTAAAGAAGTGAGAAGCATTTTGTAGAAAAAACGTTGAATTGGTTGAATTTATGTAAATTCTTGCAACCACAGGATCCTCTGGAGGAGCTGCTCTGTGTTTCCATATTTGTGTGTTCCACTTTAGTCTGCTGACCTTTGACATGTGGAAATAAATTATTTCCTGACATTGAACTCTCGGCCTGTGTTTGACTGACAGGAGTACATCCGTCGGCAGTTGGAGGAGGAGCAGAGGCACCTGGAGATCCTGCAGCAGCAGCTGCTCCATGAACAGGCCATGCTGCTGGTGAGTGTTTAGCTGTCCTGTCTAAACCCGGAAAACCATATTTACATGAGTTCATTTTTCCTTATAAAAATATAGAAAATTCTTCTCCTTTGTCTGAGTATTGGCCCCTGTTCTCCCTCCTACTCTCACCCCCTTTTCCTTCTTCAAGTAGATTCTCTTTCTTTCCCCCCCTGCCTTTAAATCTGTGTTTCCTTAATGTTATTCCATCTGTTCCTGTGTCCCAGTGGTTATTTTTTAATGTTTCCACATCTCCCTGGTTGTTAAATTTCATAATGCAGGTACTTATTATTCCTCCGTTACACAAACTTTCCTGTTTTCCTTCAAATCTAAACCCAATCAAATTTTTGGAGCTAACTTATGACTTTTGTAGATCCGCAGGGAGCCATTAACAGCTGAGGTCAAAACATAATAATTCCTCTTAGGTTGTTGCTGGGGAAGTCGGGATGTTTACAGGGCCTTAGTGATGGTGATGTCATCACCAGGAAACTAGTCATCTAACAGGAAGAGAGGGTCTGTATGACTTGATGTTTTTCGTTTTTAAAGGATTCTGCTCCTGCGGGGATTTCAGAGGATATTCAGATAATGAAAGGATACGACCACTCATATCCCCACTCCCAGGTTCACACCATCACTTTATCACTGGCTACGTTCTCCCGTTCCCACTCTGTCACCGTTCTTAAACTTCAGTATGAAAAAACATGTTTCCCTTACATCATGTTTGGCTGTCACACTTGCATTAGTATGAAAACATTTGCTTTGAAAAGATTTAAGAGAATTTTATACTTGAGATTTAACGTCTTGCTATATATAGATGCAGCTTCTGGTAACGGGCATGAGTATCAAAACTCATAAAAGTCATTACTGATTTAATAGCTCTGTGGTTTGATTGCTTTTGACCAAAGTTAACTGCTCTAACAGACGTGCAGTCGCACTTTTTTTTTTTTTTTGATGAAAATGATTGGGGTTGGGAGCGAGGCTGAATCTTAATGTTTGACTTCCACAAAAAAACAAAACCCTTGCCAAAGTTATTAATATTTGGTTTGGATGCTGTAATGCCCCTCCCTCTAATTTCTCAAAACAACCCTGATTTCAAGCTCAAAAAAATTAGAGGAGGAGGTTGGGTTGTGCATTATTTTATTTAACTCTACATGATGCATTAAACTTGAGCGATTGTTGACTAGTGAAAAAACAGGCTGCTCTCTAGAGAGATAATCCACAACAACTATAAAGATCAACATCTAGTGTTTCTCAGCTCTGACATATTGGTCCTACTAGCTGCTAGAAAATAAATAATTTTAATGATCCATGGCACATAGAAAAGGCCTGTTTCTGATGTGATGTAACTATTCGATCTTTTTAAGGATTAATTTGTAAGAAAAGGAATAAATGAATTATAAATCAAGGGTATGGGAAAGGTAGACTCTCCCCTGCTCTCTCCAAAAAATCTGACTACCACCTCTTCAGCAAAAATACATGACCCCCCTTCCCTCAGCCCACCTCCCCACCCTAATAATTTTCATACAGTCACACCATTACAACATCATGATGAGGCTTACAATTTGCTGACCACATCAAAGCTCTTGAAAATGAGCAGAACTGTCGAACAGTTTTATTCTTTATACTTTACAGCGGGAAGAATGTACTTATTTTTAGCTTCCCTTAGGATCTTGGTTTGCTCTCAGGTGCAGGCTCTAAACTGTTAGGTTGAATGTTTGGAAATCCAAGAAGGAATTAAAGTTGCTGCGGTATCACCGGAGGGGCCCTAAAGGAATAAAGTATTAAAAACACACAATGTTGTGGAAGCAGTTTTGGTTCAATATGACAATCCCTGTACTCAGGAGTATAAATGGCGGGAGCTTGAGGAGCAGCGCCAAGCACAGAAGCTCCAGAGGCAGCTGCAGCAGGAGCAGGCCTACCTGCTGTCCCTCCAGCAAAACCAGAACCTGGACAGTAGCAAAACAGCCCAGCAACAGAGCACCAAACCCCCACAGAACCTTGAACCTGATAGGGTAAAGCCCCTGCAGAGCCCTGGCCCGGATACGACAAAACAACCACAGAACACTGACTGTGAGAAGGCACGGTCCAGTCAAAACCACAGTCTGGAGAAAACTACAGACAACAAGCTACCTGTCGCTGACCTCCAAGGCCCCGCCCCTGACTCTGAGTCAGTCAGAGAGGTGAACCCTCGCAGCTCGACGCCGTCACACTGACTGCTGTAGAATGCTTCCCTTTGCTTGTGTGTACTCACTCCCTCTGCCTGGGGTGTGCTGTGTGGACATGGGGACGGCTAGCTGCTGGTGTGGGGTGTGTGGATGCTTTGTAGACGAGCTGTGTGACTAGAATCTATCAGTGTCTCTTTTTAAACCTGTAAGTCTAACAATTAAACAGATCCACGGTGCAGTTTTATTTCCAGTGATGCTGGGCGGCTCTCTCTACACTTACCTCTAGATGAAGGACATTTCTTGATTGATTGCTTCAGGGAAAACTGAAGCCACAGGAAATACAATTTTAATTGTTAATCTTCGATAACCTTAACCTGCTTAAATGCAAAAGACAAACAATAGAAAAAAGTGTCATTTAAATAATTGATACCACCCGTGTTTCATGACTTAACTCAGTTCTACAGCGTCCTCACTCATTGACTGAAAATTAACTTTTTACATTTTGATAATTGATTAATTATTATAGTCAGTTATCATGTAAAAATAAAAAACAATATGTGACTAATTAAACTCAAGATAATGATGTTCAATGAGTCAAGTTTGGAGAATTTCGGGGCCTAATGTCAAACCTAACCCTCATCTCTAGCTTATGACTCCTCAAAATGACAACTCATACTTCCTGGGTATATTTTAGAAAACATCATTTGGCTATTTGCTGAATGCCTGATGATTTGTTTTCCCTCTTGACCGCTGTAGAGTACCAGTTTAGTGTTGACCTGGACAGCTCCTCCTCCTCAGTGAGGGCATCACCGCTCCTCTAATTGGCCTCACTGTTGTCTTTGCCACCATATAAATGAAGTTACTGTTATAATAAGCCAGCTCGTTGTGACTCCCTGTCTCTCTCCTCTTGGCTTCCTGCTGTTGCCATTTAGCACCTGGTGGGGGAGGAAAAGGAGACAGACACACAAACCAAATCCAACGGCACTTGGCTGACCACATGCAGTTCACATGTAGTTTTTCCTGGTTTTCTCTTTTTACTCTGGGACAGGTGGGGTTTATGGAACAACTCAAAAACTACAGGAAATTTTGCAGGAATGTTGTGTTAAAGAAGTTGAATTCTCACAGCTGATCTTTCAGCCATGTTGGAGGATGAACCTGGTGTTCAGTGCCCTCCAAGAAGCTACATCTACAAGACAATGGATTAAGGCATGCTAGCATTTGATTGACTGAGAGGGCAGGAGCTATCTGAAGGCTCAGGTCATGTGAGAATATCACGGTGGTACCTAACGTCGCCGGAAAAATGTCAACTGCTGTTATTGAACCATATTAGGTAGCATTAACTACAAAGCTAACCCTGGCTTCTGTCTTCTGTAGGCTAGCAGTCAGGTTGCTAGCAAGTATAAACATAAAATGGTGTATATATCAAATTATTAGTTTAATTTCTGGAAAAAATCCCATGAAAATGTCACCATAACTTACTATACCATGATGTTTTTATGCCTTACTAACTATGATGTTTTTATGACATTTTCTGCCTTACTATACTATGACGTTTTTTCACATTTTACGCCTTACAATATTTTGACGTTTTTATGACATTTTATGCCTTACTATACTATGGTGTTTTTTGACATTTTATGCCTTACTAAACTATGACGTTTTTTGACATTTTATGCCTTACTATACTATGACGTTTTTATGCCTTACTATACTATGATATTTTTATGACATTTTATGCCTTACTATACTATGACGTTTTTATGACATTTTATGCCTTACTATACTATGACGTTTTTATGCCTTACTATACTATGATGTTTTAATGCTTTATTATACTATGACATTTTTATGACTTTTTATGCCTTACTATACTATGACGTTTTTATGCCTTACTATACTATGACATTTTAATGACATTTTATGCCTTACTATACTATGACGTTTTTGGACGTTTTTATGCCTTACTATACTATGACGTTTTTTGACGTTTTTCAACCTTACTATACTATGACGTTTTTATGCCTTATTATACTATGACGTTTTTTGACATTTTTATGCCTTACTATACTATGACGTTTTTATGACATTTTATGCCTTACTATACTATGACGTTTTTGGACGTTTTTATGCCTTACTATACTATGACGTTTTTATGACATTTTATGCCTTACTATACTATGATGTTTTTGGACGTTTTTATGCCTTACTATACTATGACGTTTTTATGCCTTACTATACTATGACATTTTTATGACATTTTATGCCTTACTATACTATGACGTTTTTGGACGTTTTTATGCCTTACTATACTATGACGTTTTTATGACATTTTATGCCTTACTATACTATGACGTTTTTGGACGTTTTTATGCCTTACTATACTATGACGTTTTTATGCCAATAAAAATGTCATAAAATGTCATAGTCATAGTTAAGGCATAAAATGTCTTAAAAATGTCATAGTTATTGTAAGGCCATAAAAAATGTCAAAAAACGTCAGAGTATAATAAAGCATTAAAACATCATAGTATAGTAAGGCATAAAAAACGTCATAGTATAAGTAAGGCATAAAATGTCATAAAAACGTCATAGTATAGTAAGGCATAAAATGTCATAAAAATGTCATAGTATAGTAAGGCATAAAACGTCATAGATAGTAAGGCATAAAATGTCATAAAAAATGTCATAGTAAAGTAAGGCGTAAAAATGCATAAAAAGTAATTGTATAGTAAGGCATAAAAAACGTCCAAAAAAATATTATAGTAAGGCATAAAATGTCATAGTATAGTAAGGCATAAAAACGTCATAGTATAGCAAGGCATAAAATGTCATAAAAAA